TTAGTCCGAGTAACTTGGACCAAACTTATCGCCGTTAACACGAGTCCGAAATTTAACGTGATCAAGATCGCCAGGGGAACTCTCAGAATTGAACGAGAAATTTCACTTTTCTTTCGGATCGTAAGTAAACTTCAGTACAACCATCTTTAATAATCATTGATGTCTACTTGTAGTACCTCAGGTGGCATATAGTAGTTTGGAGGCCGTTTTGAGGGTGAAATCTGATGTTTTTTGTTGGAAAATGTTGGTTTCTGGGACAGTGACAGGATAATGTTGTCCAGCTCGCACTATTAGCTTGGACCTTACTATCACCAGACCATGTCCGAATGTTAAAAAGGCGATAAGTTTGGTCCAAGTTACTCGGACTAACATGACTAAGTATGTCATTGGTCATTGCCAATTGTTCAGATGGGTCAAGAAATATCAGAATGTCAATTTTGAGTGTCATGATTTAGTCAACTGTTTTGGTGAGTCTTTCCCTTCTTACGTAGGAACAGGGTCATAATATAGCCCAGGTTGGACGAAGTCTTCATTGCATTACGACTAACGTCCAGGACGAGAATTCTCTACATAAGACCACCCAAAATTTGGACCAGATTTTTGTTACGTTTTACCTCGTTACAGAAGCTTATTCCCCGCCTACATTTTCTATGTGTCCTTACCTATTGGGCCGCTGGGTTCAGGAATTCCAAACAACAAGTCTACAAACACGTACAAGTTTAACGTTGCTTTCGCGTTTATTTTCCAGATTAAGGTCGGTCAGCATCACATATGGAATTTCTGAACCCAGCGGCCCAATAGATAAGGACACATAGAATACTACAACGTAAAAATTGGCTTCTCCAATTAGGTAAAAATATTGAAAATATCGGTCATAAATTTTTTCGCCCGGTTTTGAGCACTTCAAAGGGAGGAAAGGGAGTCCACCTGGGCTAGGTCATAATACTAGTAAGGATTACCGGTGTCACGGTCTCACTTCTCCGGCGTGCTAGATTCTCCGGGTGAATGCGGCGGATAATTGAGCACGTTACAGTGCACGTTACATGAGCACGATACATGCTCATGTGTCCGCTGTGCTTACTTTTCCTCGGGCTGTGTTCTGAAGTCTACCAAGTCCATAAATAACACAGTGAGGGACACCCAAGAATGTGTTATGTAACACTTCCTGTGGGTCAAGCTACTGAGCTTATAGAGAGGAGTATTATGGTCATTCCCTGGGTCATTCCATGGTCTTGCAAGCACTCTGATTTGCGTTCCCAGCTTGAGTACCGCGAACTCCTTGGTCTGTGCATGGTCTGTGCATGGTCTGTGTTCCTTGCTCGTTTAGATCGTGGTTGTCTATATTTTTGTAACCATGGTTTTAAATAAATGTGTATCCTCAAAACCTTTTGGTTACAGCTCCATGGTAACATGTATTGGGAGTTACGCGCGCCACTAAAATTCTGGATTCGACTATATCCTATCTCACGTTAGCTGGAGTTACCCAGCCCTGAGTTTTATCATTGGGTTGTCTATTAGGGCTGGAGCGAATTTTTCTCGTAACTTGTAGTATAGGCAAAATTTTTTGGAAAATGTTCAATTTTGTCCCCGTTACACACTAATTGCAACTGCAACTCACCCCAAACTTGCCTGGAATAACCATTACACAGGTCCTTGAAGTAAAAAACGATCCACGATGAAGATTCGGCCTACAATTGCAGTGAAAACAGGAGGAATAACCGCTAACTTGACAACCTTGCTGGATTGGCCAGGACCGCAATTGGTTTGTGCACAAAAAAATTGTGTACAATGAATGGCGGTCGATTAACAGGCACAGAGAGCGATCGCTGTCAACTACTCGGTTTTGCCGGCTGCGCTGGCTGTTGGTGCATGACGTCACGCGGAAGCGTAACACCCGATGACTGTTTCATGCACTATTGGTTGCGGTTCCAGTACCAAAGCTGCGATGCGAGTGGTAAACCTTATATTAGTGCATAAAACAGTCATCGGGTGTTACGCTTCCGCGTGACGTCATGCGCCAACAGCCAGCACAGCCGGCCAAAACGAGTAGTTGACAGCGATCGCTCTCTGTGCCTGTTAATCGACCGCCATTCATTGTACACAATTTTTTTTGTGCACAAACCAATTGCGGTCCTGGCCAATCCAGCAAGGTTGTCAAGTTAGCGGTTATTCCTCCTGTTTTCACTGCAATTGTAGGCTGAATCTTCATCGTGGATCGTTTTTTACTTCAAGGACCTGTGTAATGGTTATTCCAGGCAAGTTTGGGGTGAGTTGCAGTTGCAATTAGTGTGTAACGGGGACAAAATTGAACATTTTCCAAAAAATTTTGCCTATACTACAAGTTACGAGAAAAATTCGCTCCAGCCCTAATAGACAACCCAATGATAAAACTCAGGGCTGGGTAACTCCTAGCTCTACTGAGTGGAGCGTTGAATTACGGGTACCCCTCCATACAAACGCTCCACCGATTTGCCATACTTTGGTAGCACCATACACGGTCGTCATGACGGTATGCATTTTGTGCATGCCCTCGCGAGGACAAGGCCCAAAAAAACTGATAAAGAAAATACAAATGAGGAAGACAGTAACCCTGGATAGATCCACACATTCATGACATTCCATATGACCCCTCAAATTGTTTCAAACAACCGGTAATTTTGAAAAAAGAACAAAATAGTCTGAACTTACCGCTCACAATTAAATGTGTATGCCGAGTTGCACAGTCTATTTCACTGACATGACTGATGCATTATTCATTGCGCGCGTGTGTGACGTCACTATTGAAGAAAAACAAGTTGCGCTTACTCAATAGCTGTTTTATGTAGTCATATGTGCCCCGCGCCGTCTGACTGTGGGTTTTTGGTGCGGGGCACATATCAGTACATGAAACAGTCATTGATTAAGCGCGACTTGTTTTTCTTCAATAGTGACGTCACACACGCGCGCAATGAATTATGCTTCAGTCATGTCAGTGAAATAGACTGTGCAACTCGGCAGACACATTTAATTGTGAGCGGTAAGTTTACTCCTAGAACTATGAGGCTCCACGTAGTGGAGCCTCATAGGTTCAGAAGCCCGCAAAATTGTTGTCAGCACAAAACACTAATTAAGTACAAAAACGTCCATCCCAAGCAGGCCGTTTTCCACAGAACCGCTGCACAGTTTGCCCCTAAACTCCATACAATACCTCATGACATACTCACGTTATGTGCACCCAACAAACATCGGTGGATTCTGTCTGTTTTTCGGCAAAAATGATGAAAAATATGCCCTTTCCGCACTGAGCCAACCTAACACTTGAAACGAGCACGCGTGCAGAATGATCGCAGTTATTTTCGGTTCGATCGCTCGGAGCGCGCCGCGGGGGGTATGGTGTAGGAGCGGAACGATAGTATGCACATGCGTACAAGTGCAAGTACGTACCCCCCGCGGCGCGCTCCGAGCGATCGAACCGAAAATAACTGCGATCATTCTGCACGCGTGCTCGTTTCAAGTGTTAGGTTGGCTCAGTGCGGAAAGGGCATATTTTTCATCATTTTTGCCGAAAAACAGACAGAATCCACCGATGTTTGTTGGGTGCACATAACGTGAGTATGTCATGAGGTATTGTATGGAGTTTAGGGGCAAACTGTGCAGCGGTTCTGTGGAAAACGGCCTGCTTGGGATGGACGTTTTTGTACTTAATTAGTGTTTTGTGCTGACAACAATTTTGCGGGCTTCTGAACCTATGAGGCTCCACTACGTGGAGCCTCATAGTTCTAGGAGTACGGTAAGTTCAGACTATTTTGTTCTTTTTTCAAAATTACCGGTTGTTTGAAACAATTTGAGGGGTCATATGGAATGTCATGAATGTGTGGATCTATCCAGGGTTACTGTCTTCCTCATTTGTATTTTCTTTATCAGTTTTTTTGGGCCTTGTCCTCGCGAGGGCATGCACAAAATGCATACCGTCATGACGACCGTGTATGGTGCTACCAAAGTATGGCAAATCGGTGGAGCGTTTGTATACCTGTAATTCAACGCTCCACTCAGTAGAGCTAGGTAACTCCAGCTAATCTCACGTGCACCAGTGCAGTAGGCCTACAACCCCAAATAACTCAGCACACAAATAAAGTTTGCGAAAATGTACACTACTGCGCAATTTGCACATGCGTGTTGAGGCGAAATTTCCTTCTGTGGAGAAGCTAGCACGCCGGAGAAGTGAGACCGTGACACCGGGCGAAGCTTAGTGACCGACACCCGTTCTCATACGTTTTATCACGCAACCGATGCAACGATAAAGATCGAATACTTACCAACCAAAAAGCGTTTCAAATACTCGGCCTACATAGGAATTAAATGCACTAAGTTTTTTATTTTTCCTCCAATAATCTCTGGAACTTTATTGAGAGAACCTTTGTCTGAAAGGTTAGTATTATTGGAAAACAGCTGAGTTTTACCCGTGTTTGCGAGCAGAACATTGGTGACAAGGGACGTCATCTTGATTCTTGGATCTGCCGCCGGTACGCGTACGGTACAGCGCCCTCTAAACAAATTTTTTGAGAGTGACGTTTCTGAAATTTCGGACTAAGCTTCGGCTTAGAGTCATGAATGTCTACGTAATCATTTTAACAACTAATTTAACAGTCTAATGCAAGCATAACAACTGTAACATTAGAACTGTTGACAATCGATGTTTTCAATGCAGAACAAAGACCGTTACCAATATAAACAAAAATTGACAAAATAACATCGCAGTGGAAGTGAAAGCTGAGTTTCAAACGAAACCAATGTCAGTTTACGAAAAATCCAAAGGTATGCGCTTGGAATGACGTATGCCCACGTGATGGCGCGCACAGGTGGTGGTGTTTTGTGACACTGACAGTTGCAAAATGGATGGATAATATTCACACGTGGTGGTTTGTTGTCTGCGTGCGCTGCACATGTGCAGCTGCACAAAAATGTAACAATGCCCGTCTCATGCAACTTTCTCCAGATTCGTTGTCGAGGAACGTGTTGTATCTCTACTGTGAGGTCGTTTCAGTGTGTCCGTCGTCAACTCGATTTTCTTAAAACCTGAAAAACTGCAAGACATTCATGGTCCGGTCGTGAGTATTTAGCAGGGAAAGAATCGTATTACCAAGGTTGCGATCATGGCGATTTGCATTCACAAAGCGCGGGATTCGCAATTGTGCCAATCCTGTTGCATAAACCGCAGATCTAAGATTTTCACATAATCCTATTTAAACATTTTGAATTTTGAGCATGTTAGGAAGTGACAATTAAGCTAGTGGTTACTCACGTACGTCACAATATGTGCATCCCCCCCCCCCCCCATGTTGAAGCGCTTGAAAGTGTTCAACATATTTGATTGGCCTGATCGAAGATCAATCTGATAATTGACAATTATTATGTACCGAAAACAGGGCTGATGGCTTTCAGGGACTTCATTCATCCTTGCAACATATCTCTCTCTCTGTTATTTAAGTCTCTATTGTATTGGAGTGGTGATGTGAAGTAGTTTTCTACAGGAAATAATGCTGGGTTCCTTTATTTTCAATAGGGCCCAAAGAAATATTGATTGTGAAAAGAATGCAAAAGTCATATCCGTCACACCTTTTGTGACGGAAATGACAATTATTATATTACTTGGCTTTTGGAGGTATAATTACCTTTTCAAGTTGTTTACTTTACAAATTATGGCAGTAGGTACATATTGAGAAATACACGGGGACATGCATTTTGAGGGGGTTTTGAGGGAGTATTGTAAAGAATGAGCATCTTGTCCATTATGTTAAAGAGTTTTTAACACTGCACATAATAGGAGTCGTGTTGAAGTTAATTTAACTGCTCAAAAATCTAAATTTCATTCTATATTTTTTTAATTATAGTGCCTTAAAGTGTCGGGACATGAAAGTAGACACTTGATACTGAAGAATGACCCAAAGGCCCCTTTTTAATAAGAACTTGCTGGGAGTGTACATGCGGGAAGAAATTCATGATAAACATCTCCAGCATTTAGGATAGAGATAAACCCACGAAAGATTCTAGCGTAAGGTTGATGCATTGGCAGTTGTACTGTTTGACTTTGTTCACTATAGGGTGTCAGTGGGTACATTGAATTTTTTGAAAAGAAGCTGAAACAATTAGAAGCAGTAGGTGGAAATTAACAAAAATCCACTTTGAAAAAAGATGTATATCATAAATTTAATTTAGCTAGTTAAACTGTGCACATTAATTTACTTGTGCTTTTAACAAGTTCAATAAATATATAAAATCTGATATCAACAAGTATTTTTGTCCTCTGCAGGCTGAGTGTAAACATTAAACTGAAATCCACAGGCAAAAGGGGAACTATGTATTGGTGGAGTGAGGAAATTATGGATGTGACATTTACACATTTAAACATTTAAAATAATAAACAAAATTCTAAATCGTATTTTTCCAAAAGTTTTAACAAAACTCAAATTTTAAAAACAGGAACCTATTTTCCGCTATCTTCCTTTGAGTTGAGCATGCATAACAAAAATAATCCAAACCTATTCAATTTGCTAAAAGCTAAGGAGAACTGCAGTACTAGATTACTTTCAGGCTACGTGCTCATCTTTTTATTGTTTTCAATGACAGCCCTCTTTTTATTATGTTACTCATTTATTATTTGTTGTGTCGATCATGTTGGTCTGCACAATGGGCAGTTGTCAGTCTTTGTGAAAGGGCTCAACATTGAGATGGTTCTTTAAATGTTTGCTAAACATTTACAAAATGAAACGTCACATCCTTAGAAGACATTGGAGGAGGAAGGCAATTGGAGGTCTGTGGATGTTTGAGCTACTACATACATGTAGAGGGTAACAGATGTCTCTGATGGTGATGCTGAAGTTTTGCGGAGCTATCGTCTGTTTGCTGACCTTCATTGCTAGACGGACCTTCATGTAGACGGACCTTCATGTAACGTTACCGAAACGGGCAGATCAGCAGACTATTCATATCGCGTTATCGCGATGCGACAGCAATATGCGTGTGAACGACAGGACGTCTGACAAGAAAAGTCTGGTACCTTATCCTATCAATCTTGCACCAATGCAGTATTGCGTGTTGATGGCAGGGTACAAGTTTCAGTACATTGATTTCTATAAGTCAATACATGTACATTGTATATCGATAACCGGCCACGGCCACGCACGCACCACATCGAGCGCCCTGTACATGTATTGCACAGTAAAGAAAACGATCGAATTATATACCGGTATGTGCGTGTGTGCAGTGCGGTAATTTCCGTCGAGTCACAAGTCAGTTCAAGTCCAAGTCCGAGTCCGTAGCCCCGAGTCTGAGTCCGAGTCATAAGTCAAAGTGACTCGAGTCCCAGTCCGAGTCATTAAAAATGTGACTTGAGTTGGACTCGAGTCCGAGTCACGAGTCATACAAGTCTGATTAGATGTACTTTATCTTTTTTTTTTTATTAAGATAGAACGAGCCAAATATTTTAAACATTTTTTTCAAATTCGGTCACTTTCTTTTTGACTCATCCTGTAGTTGGTTCAACCGGTCACGTGGGAATAAACTTGATGAATACATCCTGAAAATGCCTTTGGGGATAATGACAGTATATGGATGTGATTGGAAGGAGGAGCAGGTAGTTGGTACATGTAGTTGGTTTCAATTTGGTCATGTTACTGAAGACGGAAAGTAACATTCACTCAAATCATCTTTAAGCACTAATATTACTTTGTACAAAGGTATATGTAGATGTAAACAACAGCAAAAAAAGAGGAGATTTTCTTTTCTATCAATCCTTGTTATTTTTTTCCCCAAAATGAATTGTGTTCTTCCCCTGGATGTTGATTTATTTACCCATACAACAATTCTGTACTTCCCTTCTGTTTGATATTCAATTTGATCTGATAAGGAATGATGTCAAATGGAAGTTTTTATTCACAAATCACAATTTGATTTCTGTTCATCAGTTGCCTTTTTTTTCTTTCCTGGGCAAATGTTGGTTGTCATCTGATCAGAGTTTCTTCTTCACTTTCTGGGGTTGTTGTCATTTGAAATCAGTCTCTGCCTTGCCTGACGATCAAGTTGATGTTGTCATATTCTCAGTTGTGTTGATGGAACATCTTTGCAAGACAATTTGCAAGAGCTAACTACTTGGTTATCTACGTAGTGGCATGGTTTAGTAAAGGTTTGCGGTGCCACCATGTAGAAGTCTCTTTTGGGAAGATGTGTGGTTCTTTTCAGATCCACACATCTTCCCAAAAGAGACTCTGCATGCCTACATGGTGTTACTGCAAACTGCAAATCTTCACTAGAACACTGTCTTCCATAAATGTGACAATTGGGAAGGGGAAAGTGTGTTTGTCCATTTTTGTTTGGGGGGGGGGGGAATATAATCCCCAACCCCTTTTCTTCCCCTGACATCCCTCCCCCCCCCCCCGCCCCGCCCCTGATTCTATGTAAATATTTCAATGCTAATCATAATTGTATTGATGATATTTCAATGATAGATATCAAATGTTTGAGGACCTACGTGGATCTGTTTGGGCCTACAACTACGTCCATTCACTGAGCGGATTTGGGATTACCCATCGAGGACTCGAAAAGATAGGAGAGAACAAGGCCATTTTCTTCGGTAAAATTATCCAGTCAGGTAAAGACAAACATCTGTGACACATTTGCATTGGTCTGCATCTCAAATCTATATGGATAGATCATAGTTGTGAAATTCGAAATTGTGAATTAGAAAGTAGGAATCAACTGTATTCGATTTCATCCATATAATATTTGATCTTCTTTTTCATATATGTATTTTTTTTGTTGCCCTTCCCTGAAGTATTTTACAAACACTGTAAACATTGAGTTTTTTCCGAGGGTTTGCAAGAAAAAAATCAACAAGCTTACTTCTGGTTGGACACGAACCCCCAACCTTCGGCTTCCTAGTGCAGACACATTAACCACTCGACCACTGAGCTTGCTGTGGCAAGCTGGCCGTTTGGAGTCTGATGAAGCAGCGCTTAACCCAACTTTGTTTGTGTAGGAGGTCATTAGTTTGAGCCCCACCTAAGCCTTCGGACAACACTAAGTGCACAGTGTTTACAAAATATGTCAGCGAAGGGCAAACAAATATCAAATATAAAAAAGGCTAATTTACATCTCGTAAACTTTTTCTTCCTGCCCAGGTTCCCATCTGAAGTCCATCCAGATGATCCTTAATAAGACAGCAGACGGTACAGGCATCGACTCCAACACCCTGGCCTTACAGATGAAGGCCCATCCTGAGCTGAGGGACAAGCTTCATGTCGTCACCTCATGGGAGCCTTTGCCTGTCTACCCTGGGGTGGTCAACTCAGAATTACCTGGTAGGTACAGTGGACTCTGTGACCAAGTACCAGTGTTGTAGTCGAGTTACCAACGTCGAGTCCGAGTCCAAGTCCAAGTCTCGAGTCACAAGCCTCGAGTCCGAGTCACAAGTCACTTGTTCTTAGTTGTTCGCCAAACTAATCATTTTTTTAAATTATTTTTTAATCCTCCATTCAGTCTTTTTAGTAAATCCCAGTGTACATAGTTGTGTGTGTACATGTTGTTTAGAGCCAGAATGTGTTTTCCTTTTAATTCCCATCCCTAAAAAATCTTCCTCCAACCCTTCCTTCCATGTTTGATCATCCAAACAGTATTCCTCAATGATCCTTTCCCATCCCTACGTTAGGTTTTTACTTTTGTTGAAATTATGTGACTCGAGTCGCGAGTCATCGAGTTCGAGGAGTCATGGTCAAGTCCTAGTCATTTTCCAATGTGACTAGAGTCCAACTCAAGTCCGAGTCCTAGACTCGAGTCCTACAACACTGCCCAGTAATCCATCTTAAGAAAAGGTTTAGGTGGAACTCTTGAACGCATTGTCGCCCAACACCTTGTGCTGATGTTAAGATATTTGATGATCATAGTGCAGTGTTCATATAGCACTCTTATACAACACACTCAGATTGCTCACACTTATTACCCCTGTTCATCAGGCCATGAGAACACTTTCCTGCTATAAGCTCGAGATCAGCAATATCTGATCTGCAGCCCCCCCCCCCTCCACATGTACTCAATGGAGGCAATTGTAGTAATGTATCTTGCTCAAGAACACCAGCACCGTGTCCCCTGTCAAGATTGACTCAACATAACATCGTGCATGAGTCAAACACAGGAACCTTTTGACCACTGGACTCTGCATGCTGAATAAAACTCTAATCAAATTAGGTTTTGCCCTCCCCGAAGTATAAACACTGTATGAGTGTGTTACCTCCTGAGTGAAAGTTGGAAAAAAAATGTTGGCGAGGGGCAAAACCTAAATTGATTTACATAACCCCAACTTAGAATTCCATCTTATGAATAGTTAATGCTATACCTGCTGCTATGTACATCAGATTCAAACCAGCCAACTGATTCCCTCAGCTTGTGGTTGAGTGGTAAGACATCTGCACTAGAAAGTAGGAGGTCTTGGGTTCGAGTCCTACCCAAGTGATTTTTTTCCAACTTTCACTCGGGAGGTAACACACTGACCGTTTATACCAACCGTTTATACGTCGGTGAAGGGCAAAACTTAATTTGATTAACATCACCCAAACGCAAAATTCCATCTTATGAATACTGAATAAAATGAGTGATACACATGTACATGTACATACTTTGCGTAAAGATATTTGTTGTGTGGAAGAGGACAGTACCTCAGACAGTCAGACCACCGTTTAAACAGAAGATCTGACCTGACACGTGTACATGAGGACATACAAGGGCCTCATGATTCTGATATTTAGTACGCTTGTAGATATTTAAATAATGTTGAACCCTGCATCATAGGTCGATCTGACAATCTACATGCTTGCCAGTATCAGACTTTAAAACGGCCTGCAAGAGCCTGCCGTTTTGAGTCTGCGTTTAGATTAACCACCATTTTGCTCGTCTCATTTTGAATATTCTTTTTTTTTCCTCAGAGGATCTCAAGACATCTATCACCAGGCATCTTCTCAACATGCATCTCGACCCCAAATGGCAAGCACAACTGAACCAATACATGGTGTCCAAATTTGTGCCGGTTACACTGGATCAGTACAAAGGATTGTTCAAATAAACAAACAAATGTTCCAATAAACCAAAAAGGGAAACCGATGATTAATGCATTATGAAATATATTGCATTATTATAATATAACAATTGTAACAAAATAACGAGACAGTGTTATATTTAAAAAAAATAATCATTAATTCATTGTTGAAATCGGTACTCTAAATTCTTGTCATGATGCAATTTTGTGCTCTAAATTAATAATGCAATATACATATTTTACTATGTAAACATGTTTTTTATATAATTTACTGAAACCACAGAGACTAGTTGTCAATCTACAAGCTATTGTCACATCTTACTGTGTGCAATGAGTTCGTTAGCAGGGCTCAAATTTTGTGTGAAAATTTTGTGGACAACAGTACCTGAAAGTTTTATTTTACTGGACCAATGTACATTCACAGATAAAATTGAAACACTGTTAACTCAAAGCCATGTGCATCATTTGCAATGACCTGGAGAAGCATTGATTTAATGACAAAACTCTGCTCAAAGTCAAGATAGGAGTGGTACCAAATACCCTTTGAAAATATTCCAGCTGAAATTGTTTCGTGTGGATGAATACTGAGGTGGTGTTGAAAGAGGGTGTCCATGGCACATTTTAACATTATGCATTAGCAATGGAATCCAGTTACAAGACACAAAAAAAAAGTTAATGTATTTTCTCGGTTTTCTTAAAATGTATACTATCCAATCAACCTTCAACAGGTTAGTTGTCATGCACCCTGCTTCAGACTTTTAGCACTTTTGTTGGTTCAAACGAAAGTAAAGGCACAAGAAGCAAATAATCATATGTACCTTTTAAGAAAGTTGCAGTCATTAGGATTATACAAGAAGTATATTTCATTGCTTCTGGTGGTAAACGGGAAACATCAAATGTAAACATTTTTAATAGTTGGTCAAATGACTCTTGCATGTGTAGGATTAGTCATGATCATGATAATCTGAGACCAGATTTGGACAGCACATGCAATCATGAAAGGCATGTATTCATCTGAGTGCAATGTGTAATTATAAAACATCAAGATGAATTTTTATTCCCTTTGTTTTAAGTTGCCAAATCTTCCAAAGAAGTTATATACAATTTAGAAGTGTTTTTGTCATTTCGTATAACCTTGGAGAGTGAAATACATTTGAACATCCAAACAATGTGTGTTACAGTGAAGTGCAAATTTGCCTTGTTGAGATTATTTATGCAAATGCACTAAGGTTTTCTGTCATGGATGTTGGTATGAACGTAGATGATGTGGATATGATTCACCTACTTTAATGAACATGTAGTTGTGTTTGTCATTTATAATACATGTACACCATATAGTTTATTAAACTGTGCTGTACATTTTGGATTTTTGTGACTTGGTTTAAAAATTAACAGTCACTTCTTTCATATTTCAAAAAATTATATTTCCAATGGCAAATTATTAAAGTGGATGCGGTGTTTAAAATGAATTAGACTTTCTATTCTATAAATGTTCTAGTTTTCTGGCAACGTGATGTTAGAAATGAACTCTTTTGAACTTTTAATAAAATTGTATTTTCAATGGCAAATTTTATATTAAATACAATACATGTAGATCTGAGCCAATTTACTTGTTTCAGTCAAATTATTCTGTGTGAAAGATTGACCATTTTTTCCTCTGGCTTATTTCATTGTGTCACGCTTAATTTCTTGGTTACAGAATCCCAATGTTTCCAAGTAGATATCATGGCTAATGGAAAGTACTCAAGAAAAATAAACAAACCCAAATTTAAAATATCTTAAAAAATTTAAGTATATCTTCCTTTTCTGTACATATATTCAATGGGGAGTGCCCAGGGGAGTGCCGATAATATCCTACAATCGTGCACACTACATTACCTAATAGTGTACAGGGGCGGATCCAGGATTTTTCACAGGGGAGGGGGTTCATCAGCGAAAAAATCAGAAAATGTAAACACTTGGCCTCCGTAAAATCAAAAACTGGGGGGGGGGGGGGGGGGGGGGGGGGCTGGTTCCATATTTCAATAGGGGGCGCTGTTCAAATTTGATGATTAGTAACACTAGATTACAGACTGGTGTACCGTATTTTGAACAGGCGGACATATACCAGTATAATTTTTTTGGGATTTGTATGATAATTGTGTTTTTTTTTTTTTGACAGAGCTGGGGGGGGGGGGGGGGTTGACACCCCCCTCTGGATCCGTGCCTGGTGTACAATTCATGGCC